GAGAAAAATGGTGACGTGTTCAATACTTATTTTACTGGCTGTATCAACCAATGGCGAAGTCTACTTTAACTATTACAGTTTGGTCTAATACAATATTTATTCAAAGCAGAAATTTGATGCAAACACCAAACCTCATATGTGAAAGTTAAATATATTGCCAAAAAAGCAACAAGGAGCAGTCCATGTCTAAATAATGTTCAGTAAGGATGAAAATATTAGGCAATTTAAACAGAGAGTCTGGGGAGTTTAAAAGCAACAGTGAGATTCAAAATGTATACCAAGAAACKGCAAAGAAAAATCTACCGTTCACCTGAACCCCTTTGTTTTTGCACAGAGGAGGTAGGCTCATGAAGGCTCAGCAGAGGTCTACCCTGKACTTATTAATGTCAGGGAGACAGAGTGGTGTTGGGACCAACTCCTGTGGGCTGGACTTGATTGATCTGTGCCTCCAACAATCTAAAGATCACCTATAGCTTGACCCCAAATGTCCCTCGGGGTCTAAGACAAATCAAAAATGAGGAATGGAAATCCACTAGACACCTGGACATATTACTGTGCTGTGTAGCTTGTAAAAAAGTGTGTCAGAGAGAGATCTGTCCGTGGACAAAGTGTGGARATCTGTAAGCTGCAGGTCATGAAAGGTCAGCCGTGTCACTCCTGAAGAGTGGAGTTATCTTGGGTGGAACAGTGCAAAGGTTCTTCAGCTGAGTGCCAATAACACAGCAACTGAAGTCAGTACTGTGCTGCATTTGTTTTAAATGTCCCATTGTCATTGAAGAATCTGTTCTCAAAAAAGCTTTGGTCCTCTTAAGCAACAAATTATAGCCTTCAAGAGGACGACACTCCTTTACCTCCTCACCTGAAAGCATGACAGTGACAGTTTATCATGTCCTAAGTCATTTAGACACTGTATTAACACCAACACCTGTTAAAAACTGACCTTAAAGCCTGACCAGATCTTTGCTAATGACATTATATAACCTTCATGTATGTTTGCACCCTTGGCCTCGTGCCCACCTTCATTCTCTTCACCCACTCTTTAGTATTACGCTTTTATTTTCCTCCCTGTCCTTCAGCGTAGGACACGTCCACTTTAAGTGCAGTGTCTGACAGGTAATCCTGGATTAAGACCACTTTGTGAGGGTTCAGTCCAGAACAGGACCTGAATGCACTCACACAAGTGCAGGGGTATGYTGGAGAAACAAAAGATTAGATGAAAACCAACAAAGGTCATTTTAACAGATGAAGAAACTATTCTAAGGAATAAATTAACTGTAGATSGTCTTAAAAGTCTTTCTAACATATCTCCCATTACATCATTAAGGCAAATACTCATAGGGCTTGTATTTTCTTTACTTTAATTTACAGTGCAGTAAGTATTTTTATGACAAAGGTAGGATTAAGTAGTCTTAGTAAAAGACACTTCCTAACATGGCRGACGTGGGGATTGGGAAAACAACCATGGGTTTTTCACTCCAATCAAAGTCAAAGTCTAGAATTATAAACCTTTTTTTGTTGTTTTTTTATTATTCAGACTTTTACATTTCCCTGTCCCACACAGAAAACTATGCATACAAAATCATGACAACATACAAATTTGACAAATGAGAACTGTTTTTCTTTGTGTGCCTGCACACGAACGTGTTCCTGTCCAGTTGACTGTATCTTTGTGGGAATCAGGATTAGGTTGTCTTACTCACACAAAAGGCTTAGATAAAGCTGATCTACACGCCACAGGAGTGTGAACTGGTTCCAAAGCTGGTGTCTCTTCCAGGACTGTTCACCCCAGTATGACGACTCCTAACAATGACCATTTTGGATTGCACAAAGGCTGAGCATTTTGGATTCTTGTAATTTGACGAATTTTGTTAAAAACAGAAAATAAATGCAGTCGTTTCATTTTTTAAAAATGACAACACTGTTTCATCCCTTGAGTTATGCGTCTCTTTTAGCTGCTCCTTTCTTCAGGAGCCACAACAGGCAGARTTACATGGTAATTGTTTTACACTAAATGAAAGTGTATCCTTGGTTTTGAGAGTTGTGATGCTTATCTATAGGCAGCAGAGAGCATCTGGCTTTTAGGGACCTGCTGTGGTCTTTTTGACTGCTATCCTGAAAAAAAAAGTGGTGTACGAGTATTAAGGGTGGGAGTTTTAATAACAAATTCCTTTTTGTTCTTTCTCTGCTGGAACATTGTCCATTTAAGACAAAAAGGGGAAAAAAAACCAACTCATTTAACGTTTTTATAAATTTACATTAGAAAACAAAGATGTGCATTTTATCTTCTTTCACATCTCATGAACAATGTGTTCTTTTGRTTTTGTGCCTCGACAATGCAGTTTGAGACTAAAATGTTAATAGAATATGTGTTTAATCCAATCTTATGGGTTAGCCCTGTTACGTTTTGATGCTAAAAWCAAAGCTAAGCTGCAGTAAATGGAAGTTCTTTAAACACAACTGGCCACTTCCATGGCTGTTTCTGAACAAACATGCCTTTTTTTAAAAAACTAGCACGCACATCTCAGAGGTTCACTCTAAAGACCTTGCCCAAACACAAACTGTAAACACAACCTGGCTTACTTAACACTGAAATGCACAAAGTCTACATCTTATCGCCAGGGCCAGAGRRGGCTCWTGGCATAGGCYAACTAGGCGGTCGCCTAGAGCGCCATCTGCTGGAGGGGGCGCCGAACTGCAGAAGAAAAAAGTAATTATTTGTAATCTCTGGTTGTAACTCTGTTCAGCGCCCCTTTCAATGAGCTTTGTCTTAAAAAACGAATGAGGTATTACAGGAAAAACAAACTACTCTACCCATAAAACATCCCCCCCAATGCAGTAATCACCCCCACCCTCTCTCTCATTTGATTGACGTTGCACTGACTCACGCTGCTCCGACACTCTGACAGGGGAGGGGCTAGTAGTGCCTCTCAGGTAGCGGTTCGTGTTGACAAACTCAATAACAAGTCTGTAATTTGTTGTCCCATACATGTCAACCTCTTCGGACGTTTACCTGTAAAAAAAAGCCTCAAAAATCCATAAATGTTGCAAAAACTCCACACACGTCAACTTGTATGGATTGTCCGTAAGTTATAAGGATTTTATGTCATTTTGCAGGTATACGGACGTATAGAGCAATCTCACTGATTTTTTTTCAAAACATCATTTTCAAATGTATCTAACATGTCAGAGCCTGTAGGATGATTTAAAAACAATAAATAACATCAAATAGCCATCTTCCAACCTGTTCTGCCGCTAGAAATAAGTTTTGAACTTTTTCCGCTCTCCTTCCCTTCTGCTTCGCAGCGGGCACTTTCATGTCCGCAGCTGACGGTCCCCCACCCCCCCCCCGCGGGTGCGAGTTGTACGGATTTTTAGCTAAATTTACGGATTTTTGAGGCTTTTTATACAGGTAAACATCCGAAGAGGATGACATGTATGACTCCATACAACTCACACCCGGGCGGGGGTCATCATCGCTTACGGACAATCCGTACAAGTTGACATGTACGTTGTTATTTATTTGCTTTCTGGGAAAGCAAATAAATTTAAGTTTACCGCAGTACCTTACGCTTTCAAACTTGTTTTTCAGGGGTTCAAATTGGGGTGGGTGGGACATAGTTCGGTGGGGGGGGGGGTGCGCTTCAACTCGCCTAGGGCACCATAATGGCTAGAGCCAGCACTGGCCAGGGCCTTGCTTTAGGCGATGCAAATCAGAACGAAACGCTTTGAAAAAAAAAATAGTGAAAATAAAAACCTATAGAGGAGAACAAAAGAGGCGGAGCYATATTTCACAAATTACAGATCTTAATTTGATTTGCAGCTCTCTTTTATCAGTCAGGCTCGGAGGAACATGCAGTTGGCCCAATGATCATATTAGAAATCGGTGCTCCCAGCAGGCAAAAAAAAAAGGGAGGTGGAACAATCAGCCATGTCCGTCTGAGACATTACTTCATTTATGACTCAATGAATCCCAGCCTCATCTTGAATGCATGAGGCATTTAAATGTACGTGCACACACAGACACAGACACACACGCAGTAGCAAGTGGGACTCCACAAAGAGAAATCGATAGCCAACCCCCCCTCTCTCTCCATACACCATATGTAAATGAGACATGAATGAAGTCTGCATGTAAGAAATCTATCTTGTATGAGCTCACCAATTCTCATTCAGTCAGAGAGAGAAAAAACCTCTCAGAGGTGAAACATCAGGCTTTTATATGCTGCATTGGGGTGCATGATGGAGCAGTTTTTTTGTGTTTAACATTCATATTAAATGAATTTGATTAGCTGTTTAATTGTGGAGGCTACAGATATTCAATAGAGAAGTGGGGATAATAACAGGGATTAATAGAATGGGGAGGTTTAGTAATCAATAAAAAAAAATGGGGGTGGGGGGTGCTAAAATGACTCAGCACCTGTTTTCTTTGCACTCATTCCTCCCTCTCTGTCACCAGGGAGGAAAATGTCATATTTCTACTTTTCTATTTTACAATTACCTACAATTAAAAAAATGAAATGTTATATGTTATTTGAGCCTGCTGGCCACACACAGGCAGGCAGGTTCCTGCAGCCACCGCAGTAGGTGAAGCCTTCCAGTGGCACAATGCAGACATAATATCAGACCTTCCAGAAAACAAGTGCGTAATTTACATCCAGGGTGGGAGAAGGAAAAAAAAAAACCAATCAGGTCAATCAGAAGGTACTTCCCACCTATGTTGCTCAGCTGCGATGTCACATCAAACTCAATCCGCAAAGCAGTCCCATTTAAACCGGGATGACACTCTCACAAGAACCGAGACCCAGTTCTCCTAAACGCCGAACAATGCCATGCAGTTCCTCAGCACGCACACCTCATTACTGCAGCTTTCAGCTCATTAAAGTCTTCACTCGCACTCAGGTGTTATGGTTACCTCTTCAATGACTATATCTWGGCTTTTTCAGTATAAATTAACAGGATAAAGATAAAGACGTGTCATTTTTTTATTTTTATTTTTTTACCTGTTCGGCGCAGCGTCTTCCAGTCCAACTCCGGCTCTGTCGGACACACAGGCGCCGCAGCCTACAGTTACCGTAATAAAYGGAGTAGATGCGCAGGACTGCATTGGTGTTTATACTGGACATTACGGTTTTACACACGGACAGGAATAGTTTTGWGATGATAGATGGGGTAGGTATAGATACCAATTACCAGTTTTTGTTCCACTTTATTTTACATTTTTATAATACTTAAAATGAATATTAAAATTTCATAATTTGAGTTAAATCTTTTAGATTATTTTAAATATACAGAGTTTTGTCTATTAAAAACATAAGTAGCAAAACTCCAAAAATTTTAATTAATTGGGATGTCCTGTGTAACTTACACCCACTTAACAATTACAAATTTATACCAAAGAACATGTGCTGAATTATATTAATAGCTACTTTGATGGATTCCTACAGTAAAAATAAACAAAAATACAGACAAAAACAGCCAAAAGTTGTCATCTAACCTAAATTTACTGAGGGCCTGTTTTCACAGTGGATAGTGCACACAGCTGCATGATCTTTAATAACAGGTAAACTCCGTCTTATACTTCAACACGGTGAACAAACAATTAAATTTAACAATGAATATCAAAACTATTTAACCATCGGCCAAACGGTCAATCGTATCCCTATTGTTCACATCTCATTATTGAGATGCATCAGGACAATACTGTATTTCTGTGCATGTAACTTGCATTAAKTTGTTCCAACTATTGTATTAGGTCGCCCTCTAAAGGCCATCAGCTGTAGTTACACACAAACAGCAGGCTGCTATGCCTGTTAAATTGTCTGAACACTTAACAAAACAACATGCATATCAACATTTTTTCTTTATGATTTAGTGCAACTACATGTATGTATTATCAGTAATAATTTGTGCTCTAATATAGGGAAGTGATCTAGCCCCCATGTGACCACCAGGGGTTCCTTTAGCTTTCACGATGAGACAAACAGCATTGAGTTTCTTAGAAAAATAAAACTGATATGTCCCATTTATATTTCATCGTGAGACAACATCTCTTCATCACATCACATGAAGAGAAAGACAAACAGAACCAAGTGAGAGTGAGGCTTTATATCTTCGGAATCCATTTCAAGAAAAATCTGTTGAATCTTTTGACTTGTTGCTTTGAAGTGCTGGGGCAGGTGTGTACTTTTAAATGAYCGTGCAGACTAGCATGAGCTACAGAGGAGAGAATTAAAGGATTTGCTCCAGATTACATCTGGAGCCTCTTTTAATCCGATTCACCTCTACAAACCTGAAATCAGCTAATTATAATCCCTAGTTTCTAATGTTTAATTCTGTAACGTAATGAATGCATGTATGTATGGCCTTGGCCTCTCTCTTACATGTGAATTATTCTTCAGAAAGCAGCAAAAAAAAAAAAAAACACCTAACAAACAACACATAAAATCCACTATGTTTACTTTTTTCATAAAAGTAAATACAAAATGACYGCTTGTATGAAATTAACAACACATTTAAACAAGTTACATAAATAAATGCTTCTACTAACATATGTTCCGATGTACATTTTAAGACATTTGTGGTTATAAATAGCATGTGAGATTTACAAAGAGTGCACAAACCTGACACTGCAGAAGACCTGCTGGTCAGAATTACTTTACGTACAGTACCTCGTTTACATTAAACCTGAAGCTGTGGAGGGAGCCACAAGACAAAAATAAAAAATAAAAATAAATAACTATTGTGGCAAATGTCAAAAATACAAAATTATTCCTTTTTCATCAAAGTATTCAGTTAATCACATCAGACATATCCATTTCTCATCAGTTAATCTATTGTTTTTGTTTTTTTCTGGGGACCAGTTTGGCTCATGGATCCTAATGTGAGGAGATCTGAAGAAGAAATGATACAATAAATTATTAAACTGATAAATAGAGCATAAAAAACATTCAGTAAATGAGGAAAAACAGCCTTACATGTTGACACTTAGCAGCTGCTTAAAACCCCCTATTGTGCACCGTGACCGCCACAATAAAATTCCTTATATTCCACATTTACTCTTTTGTAATTTCAAATAAAGAAATTTAAAAATTAATTTATAGTATAAATGACTAATACCAGCATTCATTCAAACAGATTTGTACACTGAATGAATGTGTGACTTACCAACGCTGCTACATAAGCTGTCACTTGAAGTGCAGTTCTTTCTTTGTCCATGAGAGGGCAGTGCAGCACAGACGGACTGAGCTGGGGAAAGATGTGAGGTGGAGGGATCTGATGAGGGGGAAAGAGAGCTGGACTCTCTCCACCCAGATGGGACTGCTGCTTCAGAAAGCAAAGAGGCTTCTTCAGCATCATCCAAAGGAAAAAGTCGGTGCTCCCAAGGTGCTTGAGGCTGTGGTACACAGAGCAGATTATGAGTTAGTCTCTGCATGAACTCAACATGCCGTATCTGACAGACATGACTTTATTATTATTATTATTATTATTATTAATGCAGCACTCAGTAACCCTCTGGAGTATTTTGATTTTGCCTTCCTACTATATTTCATCTTTAAAAAGGTGCAAAAACAAAATGTGATTCTGTCTCCAGTAAACCAGAGACTCCAACATGTAAATTAGGAGAACATTTACACCACATTTATAA